TTAGGAGAAAAACATCAGATAAATTCCAACAGAGGACATCCTACAATATACCTGACCAGTACTCTGTCAAGGTCATCAAAAACAAGGAAAGTCTGAGAAACCATCAGCCAAGAGGAGCCTAAGGAGACATGGCAGCTAAATGTAACTCGGTATCCTGAATAAGATTCTGGGACAGAAAAAGGGCATAGGGAAAAACTAAGGAAATCCGAATAAACTATAGACTTTAGTTAATAATAATGCATCAAATATTGATTCATTAATAATAAATGTATCATATGGTAACAAACGTACCACACTAATGTTAGATGTTATCTTAGTTATCTAGTGCTGCTATTACAGAAATACCACAAGTGGCTGGCTTTAACAAACAGAAGTTTATTCTCTTACAGTTTAGGAAGCTACGAGTCCAAATTCAGGGTGCCAGCTCTAGGATAAAGCTTCCTCTATCTGTCAGTTCTGGAGAAAGGTCCTTTTCTTCAGTCCTTCCTTGGTCTAGGAGCTTCACAGTGCAGGAGCCCTGGGTCCAAAGGATGTGCTCCCCTCCTGGTTCTTCATTGTTGGTGGCATGAGGTCCTTGTCTCTCTGTCCACTTCTCTCTCCCCTTTTATCTCTTATAAGATAAAAGGTGATGCAGACCACACCCCAGGGAAAGCTCTCCTTACATGGGATCAGAGCTTTGAGTAAGGGTGTTGCATCCCACCCTAATCCTCTTTAACATAACCTAATCTTGCCTCTTAACCACAGGCAGAGATTAGGATTTATAACACACAGGAAAATTCCACCAAATCCCAAAATGATGGACAACCACACAGTACTGGGAATCACGGCCTAGCCAAGTTGACATACATTTTTGGGGGACACAGTTCAATCCATAACAGATGTTAATAATAACAGAAACTGTGTAGGCAAACTGTTTTGCCTGCTCATTTTTTCTATAAATCTAAAATTTATAAAAAATAAAGTCTACTAATAAAAAAAATGCCCTGGTACTAATTGGGAATATTTCTGTCAACCATTTATCATTCATCACTCAAGTTCTATAATGTGATATCCTATTGCTTAATTCAATTCAGCATTCACTGAGGTTCTAGCATGTATGCTTCTGGCACTGCTGGGTGCTGACTATAAAAAGATGAACAAAATATGGTCCAAGGCCTCCTTGGAGATAAAAGACATTTTAAAGGCAATTATTATTCTGTAAGATAAGCATAACTATAGAACACAGAGAAAGGGATCTGGGAAGGTTTCACAGAGGAGGTGTAGCAAAGAAAAAACACAGAAGCAAGAAACATTTAGGTTGGGCCTGATTGTTTTGTCTGTGCCTCCAAGAACTTTCCTGTTTTTGGTTTGTTTTTTCTGATAATGATTGTGGGAATGATCAAAGCTATGGGCAAGCAAAAGCACAGCAGAAGCCAACAGTTTGTTCACCATTTATTTATTATTTACAATGGTGTTTTAACTTTGTATATCTTATAAAAAAACATACCTTAGAAAATACCAAATTTTCTAAAATTATTACAATTATAAAGGAATTTTGTACATTTCAAAGTAGGCAGATTTTAAAAACTTGGATGGTGGGGAAGAGGGAGTTAAAAACGAAAGTGTAAAAATATGAAATGAAGACGACATTGAAAGATGATGCCTAGAGCAGGTACCCAACAAAGGATAACTAAATGAACAAAATTCTGGTAAACAATCTATTTTATAATCCAGTCTTCTGTTTTATTCAGGATCCTGAGAAAGTACTTCATTTCTATGGATATAAACTCGTAAGGGAGTGGACAGGAGACAGAAGAGCTAGCATTAACTGAGCATCTCCTCTGTGACAGGTACATATTCAAGAGAGGATCCTTCTATATATTATCAAATTTAATCTGCAAAAACAATTCTTGAGTATCTCCTTAAATCTCTTCTCGAAAGCCCATGCTCAGAAGGATCCAGTAACCTGCAGCAGAGCAGCACTGGAACCTGGGTCCATTTGAGAGAAAAGCCCAGGTTCTTTCCACAGCCCCACTCTGACCAGGAACTTGTAACACAGCAGATTTCATTCCGTTTATTTCCACACAAAGCAGGCTTGGAAGTGTTTCTAATTTCTCCTTTACTATGATTGCACTCTGTTCACTTAATAGTCCAGGGCACGACCAAAGTACATTTCTAATTACAGTGTCTCATTGACAACTGATTTACTAGTTAGCCCAGTGCTGGGCATACAACACTTAAAGATGAACTCTACAAATGTCAACTGACATCCTTGACTTTCAGTATATTTCGATTATCAAATTCACTCGTTTGCTCATGCTCAGATAACCCAAGCTTGTTAGAAGATCTCCCCTTTTTTCCCATCATGCTTAGATCTTAGATTTATATGGTAACAGTGTTTTGAGGTGACCGCCCTAAGAGAAGTATGAGAAGCATTACAAATAGTATAAAGTTTTTTGGGACTAACAATGTACTGGGCCTCATCTGATTCTATGTCACCTTGGGCAAGGCTCTCGCTATTTCCTCAAGTGCAATTTGGGAGAGAAACACATTAATTACTTTGCCGACGTCTCAAGACTGTTAAGAATCGAAAATGTGAAGTATGAACTTCGCCAGCCCGAAAGTGCTCGTTATTTTTAGGCTCTCCAGCCAGCACCGGCTGTATGGCAAAAAAAGGCGCTGGGCGGGGATCCTGCAGGCGGCCCGGCGGCCGCCTCCTGGTGCATTTCGGGAAGAGATCCCGCCTCGGCCAGGCCGAGAACGCGGCGCCAGACTCGGCAGCCCAGTCTCCCGGCCCTTTCCCACCAGCTCACTTGGGGCCAGGGCAGAGAAGCAAGCAGCGGCCGGCTCGCGTCAGAGCCGAGTTGCCGCGGGTTCAGAGAAGCCTTCACATAGCTCCTCCACACCGGGGGTCTTTGTTCCTGTAGGTGTCCTTAGCCCCACTGCTCCCTCCCGAAAACCTGTTTGCCGAGTATTATTAACGTGCCCTATTTGGAGACGTCCAGTCCACTCTTGGGCGCGCTGGGGCAGGGCGTTAATCGAGGCAGCGTGCGATCTCCCAAATTTAAGTATGGGGGGAAAGGAGAGGAATGCGTTGGGCCTGCCTCCTCCCATTATTGCTAGAGGCTGGCGGCTCCCTCCCGCTCAGGCTGCTCGCGCGGGCTTCGCAGGGCGCGCTGCGGCGGCGGGGCGGGGCGCGACTACAAGTAGTGGCGGCCACTCTCACCGCCGCGCCGGGCCCCCAAGGGCGCAGCAGTCATGGAAGAGGTGATTATCAGCTCTGGCACAGCTCGGGAGAGGTGTTTTACCCCTAGGGGGGCCCGTAATTAGAGGTAGGGAAGAGAGGGGGCGAGGGTGCGGCCAGGAGCGAGTGTTCCCTGCGCACGGACTGCAGGGTGGGAAGCTGCTAGGCGAGGGCTGGGCAGCGGGATGCGGTATTAACCCAGCCGCGGAGAGGGTAACACTGCCGGCGGAGCGTACCTCCTTGGGGCTGGAGAAGAGTGCAAGATGCCTTCCCTGAGCGTGGCCGCGCCGCGAGACCACGCCAGCCTCTGGTGGTCCCGAGGGACAAGGAGTAGCGCGCGGGGACGCACGTGGCCGGCGGCGCGCAGGGGCTGTGTTTACATTCTGCAGCCGCTCCACGTTGTGCTGCCGTACTCGCCTCCCATTCGCCAGATCGTCGAGCCAAAGCTCGGCTCCTCCCGAAGGGGGCGGGCCCTCCAGTTCTCGGCGTCTCTCTGGAAAGAATCGGGTTCCCTGAGGCCTTGGCGGGACAGTCTGGGTGCACCACAGGATGGCCACTTTTTGACGACTCTGTGCTGCCGGAGTCGCCTCCACCTGGCCGTACGCCTGGGCAGAGCCGCGGCCTGACACTGTCGGGAACCGGGAGTTGACAGTGGGTGGGAGCAGGAAAGTACTGGCGGGAGATGCGGGGACTGAACCGCGGGTAGCCGGGCCGCGGAGGAGGGGCTTCTGAGAGACTCCTCACAGTCAGGCTGAGCCGGCAGGTGAAGTGGAGCGCTGGTGAATGCTGGATGAAAGCGTGGGCGAGCGGTCCTGTGACTCCTCTGTCGGCTCTCGCGCGGACTGAAGGTAGCGCAGGGCGCGGCGCGCGGGCCGGCGGGGGAGGGGAGCGCGCTGTTCCGAGGTGTCAGTCTGAGGCGCATGCGTGCGGGGCGGGCCCGGCCCGGCCTATATATTGGGTTGGCGCCGGCGCCAGCTGAGAGCCGAGCGGTAGCGGGTCTGGTGGTGAGAAGGTGCTGGGCTAGGGTGAGGATCGGGGATGTGAGAGGGAAGAGACCCGCTGGGCCAATCCATTCCGCGGGCGGGAGCCTGAGGGAAGAAAAGTGGAGGGCTGAGAACTAGGCGGCTGGGGGGAATGGGTCCCCGTGTTCCGTCCCTGTCAGGACTCTTGGCAGGGAACCGGGGAAGCGGCGGGGGACGGGAGGGCTGCCCTAAGTGGGAAGCCACAGAAAAGCCTTTCGTTCTCGGAAGATTCTCCGTTCCACCCCCATTTGGGGAGCTATCCCGCGGGAGAGAGGGTGGGCGTCTGGGTCCTCTTCACCGGGACAGAAGTTCCCCGACCATCGCCGTTTCCCCCTCTATGACCACCTTCTGCTTAACCCCCTGTCTGATTCGAAGTCCCGGTGCCCCTTCCAGGCGGCGAGCAGGGCCTGGTGGGGCTGGAAAGGAGGGAAAAGAGACTGGAGGACGTGACACAAGTCTCAGTTGCCTCCGCCCCCTGCTTCCCCGCCACCGCCGCTCTTCAAATTGGCGCGGAACCGGCTTCTCCACAGCCCCCTCTCTCCGCGGCTTGTCCAGGATGGGAGGGGGAAGGTGGGGGCGCTGCCAAGCCCCCCTCTGCGTGTAGAGGGTGGAGCACCCAGAAAAGACCAGTTTAGGGGGAGATCTGCATCTCTGCGCTTTCGAAGTGCAGGGGGTGCTTTGTGAATTTTTTTTTTAAGACAGTCGCGCCCTGGCTGTGCATTCAATTGAGGAAATACAGACATGTGTCCGAAAGTAATTACCATGAGATACCTAACACAGTCCAAAAATCAGCGTGGTAAAATGGCTCACGCTTGAGGGCCTTATCTGCAACCTCCGAATCAGCATTTAATTGGCACTCGAATATGAATGACAGTGTACTTGAGTCTGGTTTTTTCCTCCCACCCTTCCAGAGGTTTCATACACCTGAAAGAAGAGAATGTCAAGACGCAGGTAACATTATCTGTCTTGGAGACGGACGTGTTTCAAAGTTAGCTGCTGCCTTTGAGACGTATGACTTATTAATTAAACTTCCTTTTTAAAATTTCACCACAGTAGCCGTTTACAAGCTAAGCAGCAGCCCCAACCCGGCCAGACAGATTCCTCTCAAGAAGCCCAGGTAATCCAGGCCAAGAAGAGAAAAACAACCCAGGTGAGTTGGAGGAGAGATTCATTGATTCATTCATTCATTCCCGGCTAGCACCTTAGTTTACCTTAGTGTGTCTTTTCTATTTTCCAGGATGTCAAAAAAAGAAAAGAGGAGGTCACTAAGAAACATCAGTACGAGATTAGGGTAATGCCAAACTGGGGTGCATGACTTTCAGGAAAACAAATGCAGGATAGAACAAAGAATAGAACTGTGTGTTATTGCTTTGCAATAGGAAGATTCTTCTGACCCTTTGACTTTTAATGCCCCTAAAGGTCAGCAGAAAGGTGCTTATCTTTGGGTGGTTTGTATGTGCCTGAATTCTACTACAGCTGCAGAGTAAGTTTGCCTTGAAGCAGCTGTTTCCTCTTTGTAAATCCCTCCCTCTTTGAGCTGCCTGGTGCACCAGGGCCCGCCTAATCTGTCCGGTATACTGCTCTTTGTTCCCTGACTATAGTGGAAAGTCCTAGTAGCTGCCTCTTGGGCATAAAGGATGTGAGATTACTGACAGCCTGGCACCCATCCCATTGCTACCTATTCTTCCTATGTGCATTGTACAGAAAGCACTTTAGGGACAGTGCTTCCCTTTGAAAGCATTATTGATTGGGGGAAAGGGTCCTTTAAGTAATTGATTCCACTCTAAGGTTTGCTTTCAACTATTCCAAAGTATCTGAGCAAGCTTAACTAGAGAAAAAAAAAAAAGCTTTTTATAGAACCAGGTGCCCCTACCAATATTGATACAGAGGAAAAATTGCAATTTTATGATCTTGAAAGTGATTTTAGACTACAAATGCAATTTTGTTGCTGTTCCTCCCCTCCCCCAATGCCTAATTCCACGTATTACTAGAATTGTATTTTGTTGTCTAAAACAGTCTGCTTTTTACTTTGTGAAGACTGATGGGAGCTATATGGTTTATTTGTAAAATATGCATATCAGATTAGCTAGATTGTCAGCTATGTTAGCTAACAATGTTGTTTAGGGGAAACTACAGATTGTTTAGAAATATTAGCTTTCATTTATGAAAGATCAAGGCAAAAGCTGATTTCCTATTGCACAAAATATTTTTGTTTTTTAATGACAGAATTGTTGGCCACCTGTATTATCTGGGGGGATCAGTCCTTGTGTTATCATTGAAACACCCCACAAAGAAATAGTAACAAGTGACTTCTCCAGATTTACAAATTACAGATTTAAAAATCTTTTTATTAATCCTTCACCTTTGCCTGATTTAAGGTAAGAAAAATTTCAGTAATTTTATATTAAGGCCTAAATGCTGTACTACTGTATGGCACTGTTTTGAATTATCATTTGCTTTCTTTATAGACAAACTTACAACAACAAAAAAATAGCTTTCTTTACTAATATTGAGGCATTTTACCTGCAAGTTTTGCCATAGGCAAATGATATGGATATTTAAAACATTGATTCTATAAAATTATTTTCATTTGCTTGCTGAGTACTATAAGACTTATCAGCGGAACTGAATCACCTTTTTAAAGTAATGCAAATAATTTACATAAATTGTTAAAATGGAAGCAGTCTAACATGTATAACATTTTCATTTTATGTATTAACCCTGTTTCTTTCTTATTAAGCTTAGTAAGATCTATACTCCATTGGTTTTTCTGGTCCATAAGTATGGACGACTAAGAGGTATAAGTTATACAAAATATGTCATGTAGTAACTTATTTTTGGCTTTAATAATCAAAGTAATGGACTCAGATACCTAAACTCACCGCCCACCCCAGTACTTCACCTAACCACTAGAATATAGGTGACTACCTACAATAGATGATCTATTTGCAGATGATTGAGACTTGTCTCTACTGTGATCATATACTTTTAAGTATTTGGTTTTTTAGTGTTGCTCTTTAGCAAACTTACCTTAAACAGAAACCTTATAAATTTAAATAAGTGGGGACTAGAAAGCACTCTTTTGAAATCCATCCATTTTTAGGTTACTTGAGTCCAAATTTCTTTCTGTAGTACCTCAGGCTTCTGCTTTTTCAGTGCTAAAGAAATGGCTTCTAAAAATTAAGGTGGGAATTTTTTCCTAATTATCCTTTAGAGTTTTTCCTTCAAGTTCAAATGTAAAGTTGAATTTCAGTGTCTGAAAGTTGGATTTATTCTATGTAAAACAGCCTGTATATTATATAGATCACACAATGTAAACTCCCCCCTCCCCTTCTCTTAGCTGGGGATGTTCAAATGAAGTTTGGCAAAATATGTTGAAAAAAGAGACCAGATATGTTCATGACAAGCATTTTGAAGTTCTCCATTCTGACTT